AAAAATTATTTTTAAAATTGCATATTTTTGGTTTATAAGTAACCTAAATTTTTTTTCTTATAATCTAAAAATAAATACTATAAAAAAATAATCTATATTTTCAAATATTATACCAAATTTCATTTGAATATTCTAAATTGTTAAAAAAATAGATCAGTAGTATATTTATAGTACCAACACATTTGAATATTGTAAATAAAAATTCTAATAAAATATTAAATGCTAAAAAAAATAATGAAATTCAGAATCTTATTATATAAAAATAAACTATATATTATTTTTTTAAATTATTTTTATTTTGGATTGCATCGATTTATTAGAATTTTACCAATCATGAATTTTAAAACTTTGTCAATTATAGAGGTTTCATTAGTTGATATTCTATCAATTTTTAAGAAGTTTGTCAAAAGAAATTATGACGAAATCTTTGTAATCATAATAATTTTAAGTATCATTTCTAAACAAATTGATATATCAATTATCGAAAATTTTATCAATTGTCAAAGATTTCGTCAATTGTAAGGAGTTCCATCGATTAAGGGTTTTGTCAAGTACCATTTTGTCATCAATCATTAAAGACTTCATCAAAAGTAATTTCTTCATATATAATTATTTTTTAACAAGATTTCATCAAGCAGGAATTTTATTAAGAATTTCATCAATTGTCAGAAGTTTTGTCAAATGAAATTATGATGAAATCTTTAGTCATTATAAAATCGTATCATTAAGCATTATGCGAAAAATTATTAGTAATAGATTAAAGACCAATAAATATAAATAGAAGAAAAAAGTTAGACAAGTATAAAATTTTTAACAAATAAAAATCACATACCTTGATTTCTTTAATAAATAGTTTTTATTAAATTAACTTTAAATAAATTAAAAGTTTATACTCCTAATATTATTCTAATTTTAAAAAAAGCGTCTACTTTTAATATAGCATCTACCTCTAATACATCCTCTGTCTCTAATACTTATGTGCTAATTCAAAAAGCTGTAGTATAGTATTATTTTGACTCTCCAATTGTTGAAGCTAGGAAAAAAAAGGCCAAATGCTGTTTATGCCCAGATAACAAGTATCTTATAACAAGCAACAGTAGTACCACTAATTTACATAATCATATTATTAACATTCACAAAAAAAATCTTTCAGGAAAGTCTAATTCTGATGATAATTTTATGATTATAATTTCTCAATCAAGTGAATCTATCTTTAGAGATGCCTTGGTCAAATGGATTGCGACTAATAATCTTCTATTTACCACAGTCAAATCAGAAAGCTTTCATAAGATTATTGAAATAATTAAAAAATTAAATGGTGATGTTACAGTTCTTTCTGCCAAAACAGTCAAACATGATTTATTAAATAAATACTCAGCTCTTTAAGACTCGATAAAAAGCATATTAATGAACAACTTAAGTCAGATATCTCTTATTACAGATATCTGGACTAGTAAAGACTGTAAAGCCTTCTTAGACATTACAGCACATTGGATCGATAATAATTGGGAAATTAAATCCCAAGTACTCGATCTCGTATCATTTGAAGGACCATATACTGGAGAGAATATAGCAAATACTTTAATTAGTATTTGTGAAAATTTTGGTATCATTAATAAAATACTAGAAATAACTATAGATAATACTTCAAACAATAATACATTTCTTAGTTCTTTCATTAAACGGCAAGGATATATTTGCTATATTGCACATATAATGAATCTTTTTTTACAAGATTTTTTATATTATCTATATTCGAAAATACCAAATCAAGAAGATGATGAAACTAGTATTCTAAGTCAATCTACTACTTCCCAGACCCCAACAATTAAAAAGCTTTGAAAACTTATTGCCAAACTTTGATCATCACCTCAACACCATCAAAGATTAAGTGAGCTATATCTATATCTTAATATACAATATAAAATTTCTATTCTTGATTCAAAAACTCGATAGAATTCAACTCTTGATATAATCGAATGAGCTGTTAATATAGCACTGGCAATCAACTCGATGATCAATGAAATTTAAGAATTAAATGAATTAAACCTTTCATCAAGGGAATGAGATATACTTAATGAAATATTATTACTTCTAAGGGCTTTCTATGATATTTCTGAAATATTATGTGGTGAAACATATATAACTATACCTCGTGCTATACCAGTATATAATTTAATCATGGATGACCTTGAAAAGATACAGAAGCAATGTTTCTCTTTTATTAAAGAGGCCGTTGAAGTAGCACTTGATAAATTGAAATTATATTACACCAAGTGTGACAATCTAATCTATGTAGTAGCTATTTTGTTGGATCCAAGATTAAAAAAAGCATATTACAAAGCAGAAAGTTGGGATGAAGAATAGATTACTTGGGCAACCGAATGTTTAAATGATATATATAACAGATATAATAATAATGATACAGTTCTAGAAATGGATCATGATATTTCTAGTAGTAATCGTCTTGACCGCATATTTGAAAAGCTTTACTGTTCTACCAATATAAATGAAATTAGTTTATATTTAGATAGTTCGTTTATTAATAAAAAATAAATATATACCAATGGTGAAAAATGCATGCTATTGAGTTTTCAAAATTAGCAGCTATAGCATGTGATTATCTGGCTATGCTAGCAACAAGTGCACTATCCAAAAGACTATTTTCTAAGAGTTTGGGTATGGATACTATAAAATATGGATCTTTAAGTCCAGAAACAATTCAAAAATTCATTGCACTTAGTAATTGGTTAAATTGAAAGATATTATATTAATAATATTTGAACTTTTTTTTCTTGTTTGATATATATTATACATATATATAATGTAATATCTTAATATAATTACAAAAAAATATCTATTGTATACAAATTATATATTTTTTAATAAATAATCTTGGTTAATGACAAAAAATATATTAAGACACATTAAAGTACTCAACTGAATTTTACTAATTAATAAGGGGTGTACTATTTATCATATAATATTTTTTACTTAGTAGCCACCTCTATCCATGTATGGTGTGATTACTCCTAGCTTGATTCTGATTGGCCGATTTAATTAATTATTAAAAATCTTTTTAATATTTTTAAAATTGAATAACTTTTAATCTACTGGTTTGATTTGAATAATTTAACTGTCAAAATATTTATCTTAATGAGATGATTCTAATGAGATCAAAATTGCTAAAATCTAATTACAGAATTGTTAAAGTTTCTTATACTATTTTGTATATAATAAAATTAATTTTATTATATACAAAATAGTACAAGAAACTTTAACTATTTCAGGATCCTGTAATTGGATTTTAGCAATTTTGAACTTATTAGAATCATCTTATTAAGATGAATATTTTGATAGTTAAATCATCCAAATCAGACCAGTAGATTAAAATTTATTTAATTGGTGATTCACTACTCAACTAGAGAGAGCTCATAGTATAACGTGATACGGTTTATATATAGAAATTAAGGTTTTTGGAATGTGAGTTGCTTCTATCTAAAACTTTTTTTCGTACTAAGTTAATCATCTTTGGGCCTCTAATTGAAGTTATAGAGCTCATCGAGATAAATTTAATAGTAATTGAATCATCAAAATCGACTTGGTAAATCACGAGATATCTTCAAAAAACATTTCACCAACTATGTAAAATTCTTTTGGCAATACTATTGTCGAAAGAGAGAATTTTACATAGTCAGTGAAACATTTTTTGAAGATATCTTGTGATTTACTAAGCCAATTTGATGATTCAACTACTATTAGATTCATCTTGATGAGCTCTATAACTTCAATTAGAGGCTCAAAGGTGATTAACTTAGTATAAAAAAAAGTTTTAGATAGAAGCAGCTCACATTCCAAAAATCCTAATTTCTATATATAAACTGTATCACGTTACACTATAAGCTCTCTCTGGTTGAGTGGCGAATCACCAATTAATATTAAAGATTTATTAAAATATATATATAATTTATATATTATATATTTAATTATATACTATATTATATATATATATATGTACATGATCTCTTGCCTAACTATGTATCCATAGTATAAATCACGTGATTTTTGGCACTCCCTTAACCTCTAATAGAATATATAGACCTGTTTATTGTTATAAATATAGAATTAGCATTAAAAAGGCAAAAGACGGTATCTACTATTATCAAAAACATGTTTGAAATAAGTATTGAGCAAAATGATATATAAATATATTATATGTTCTTTGTAAACCTAATTTGTAATTTTAATTCCAGTATGAAATAATTAGTGTAATTTGAAGAATAATATATAGTGGTAAGTATTTATAATCTTGATTTGTGAATGTGTTTTATAGTTTTGATTTTAATAATTAATAAATGTTATTTATACTTATACATTGAATGAAATAATTAATACGAATAAAATGATTTTGAAGGATATTAGGTAATAGTAATTAATACTTATGTTCTTGATTTGTGAATATGTTTGTGTTTATTCAAATGATTAATAAA